AAAAAAAAAAAAAAAAAAAAAGAATGGAGTCTGGAATCTATAAAAGGCACACCAGAAGATTTGGAGTAAAGTTGGTTCTATTCTTAAGAAACTACTCAAGTTTTCAAATCTGGGAGACTTTTGAGGGTCTTTCATCAGTAGAAGTGGAAAGGTCAGGGTACAGAGACCAATTTAGGAAGTAAATGTGATACATCATGTTATTCTGGCTTCCAGTTTGGAGGGAGTTGTTTTTCCATCTCACCATTTTATCCTCCCGAGACTGTTAGGAGAGTTGGACATGGGTGGAGAGGCATAGAAGGAGACAGCCACTTTGTATTTTAAGGATTCATTTCGTTTTTATTTTTCATCAATAGTTTTCATTGCATTTTTCACATCAACAGAGTTGGGTTTAGGGTTCCCCAGGAGAGCAAGGGAGATGGATGGGTCCCTCCCAGGTATACAGGGAAGAGGGCTACGTCCAGCAAGTGAAGGGTGAGGGAAGAGGGCACAGGGTACACGCTCGTACACTGGGCACTGGAGGAGAAGGCAGTCTTGAGCACAGACACCAAAGAGTTAAACAGTCACCACCTGGTTCAGTGTTACAAAATAGGGGGAGTGACCACAGGATGGGGGCACCAGACACAGCATGAGGAGGGTGAATTTAGATTTTCTTTTTTGTTGTTATTTTCACTTTTTTCCTTGTAACTTTTTTTTAAACATTTTACAAACAGCTAAAAACTACAACACATCACAGCTACAGTAGGATGAGGAGAGGGCACCAAAGAAAGCAGCCACACAGAGTAGGGTGGGACAGGGCAGCCTAACCTACAGAGGCTATTGTGTGGAAGGGTGAGATGGGGAAACTGAGGCTTCTGGTCCCTGCATTAGGGGTCCCTCACGTACTGCCCAACCTCTCCCCACTTTCAGAGGAGTTGCCAGGAGGGCCCCTGCCCCAGCTCCTTGTGCTTTTTGATCTGCTGGTTTGACCATATGCCTGGTTTCTCTCCCTCCCTTGCTCCACTGCCTACAAGGGGACAGGGGAGGGCAGCTGTGCTGTTCCTGTCTGTGCAGTAGTGGGTGGAGCCTCTTGCTCCAGAGGAGGCCTGTGGTTCTTGAGAGGAGGGAAAGAGATGGGCCTTGTCAGGTGCCCTCAGATCCCCTAGACTGTGGGACTCTTACCCCAGACTGGCCTAGGGCTCCTCCCTCCCAGGCTCAACGCAGAAACGGGATCAGGGAAGTACTATGGGCGGCAGGGTTGTGTGTGTGTCCGTTGAGATTACCCTTGGCTTATATTTTAGGACACTATATTGACACCCCCACCCCAGGGCACATGCACACACATACATAAGTGTACACACACATTCACACACACAGTCCTGCTGAGCTGCCTCAGAACTTAATATATAAATAAATAAGAATCAGAAAGCTAATTTCATAAAATTCAGGCCTCATATTTGCAGCCCAAATTTAGGGGGAAGGAGAGGCCAGGGGCCTGAGGTTTATTGCTACTCCCCCAGCATCCACCAGGAGGTGTGAGAGGGTACCCAGGCCCTTCCAACTCTAAGAAGTTCTTTTGGTCCATGGTCTACACCCAAGCCCCAGCCCCCAGCATAACTGCATACCCGTGGTTTCACCAGGGCCTAGGCAGAGGGAACAAGGGGGAAGGCAGGAAGCCAGTTCTGGAACCCCTGGAGCAGGGAAGTGAGGGCCCCTCACTAACACCAGGAGGAGAAGGGTGAGGCTCAGCCTTCCCTTGTGCAAAGTTGAGGGTAGTAGGAAGAAGGGAGTAGAGCTTCATCCCAAAACTGGGATGAAGGAGCCTTCCCTGTAGTCCCTGCCCACGGGGGTCACACACATGCACACACACACGCACAGCTTAAGACACCAAACAGGAGTGTGGGGAGTGAGGGCTCTGGGGGCCAGGATGGCAGGGCAGGGAGGGGAAGGAAGGAGTTGTTGGTCTCACAGTGTGCCTGCCACTCCCAAAGCCCCAGAGACCCCCTCACTGCAGCACCTGCCCCCGGGTCTCAGGCAGCTTCAGGGCCAGAGAGCTGCCGAGGGCAAGAGCAGCTGAGGCAAAGAGAATTGGGGCAGCCTTGGTGATTCCCACAAAGGATGTGAAGATGCTGATCCCCAGCACAGCCGCCAGCTTGCACAGGGCATTCAGGAAGCCAAAGGCTGTGGTCCTGCTCCAGAGTCCGGTGTGCAGCGCAGAGGGCAGGCCCAGGAGGGGGACAAGGGAAGAGTGGGTGGGTGGGGAAGTGAAGGTGAGGAAGATGGCGGGCAGTGTCCAAGAGGAAGCAGGAAGCATGAAGAGATCAGAGAGGTGAGGGATGTACATCAGGGAATATAAATAAGTTGGGAGATAAGGAAGAAAGAAGACCAAAAAATGAGATTAACAGTTAAGACTTCAAGGAGTAGATACAAAAGCTACCAGCTTTTAGGGGAGAAACTCAATGAGTTTATCCCCCTCTTATCCCTAAGGATCATTTTCCCATTCAGCCTCTTCACTACACTTCTCCCCTACCCTCTAGACCCTGGACCTGCTGCCCGGTCCCCACCACACTCCAAGTACCTCTTGTCTGAGGGGTAGAGTTCGACAGTCAACACATCCAGCGCATTCCAGGATGCAATGCTGACCCCCCCAAAAAGGCAGAGCAGAGCAATCATGGCCGACTCGCTGTTCCCAAAAGACAGGAAGAAGCAGGAGACACAGGACATCACGCTGGAGCCAGCTGGAGCCAGGAAAGGAGAGAGCAGCATGAGCCAGACCACAAGGAAACCCATCTAGAACCCGTCTTGTCCCATCAGCTAGCTCTAAGACAGCCCAGGATGAGACTCTTTTTCCCAAGGTACCCAAAAGGACCTCAACCTCCTTTATAATTATCTTTTTATTAATAATATCAGTAACAGCCATTTATTCAATGCCAGCTGTGGCCCAAGCAACTTGATGCTTTACATGCATTGATTTAGTACATACAATAGTACCTATGAGGCAGGTACTATTATCACCCCCATTTTGCAGACAAGACAACCAGGCTCATAGAGGTTAAGTGACTTGTCTAAGGCAGGTGGCAGAGCTGAGACTCAAAACCCATAACCTCAAAGCCTATGCCCTAACCACTTGCTATTCTGCCTACCTCCTTCTACCCCTTACAAAAGCTTCTGTGCCAGGCCCCACCCCTTCCTGTAGCACCCCCTAAATAGAAAACACGAGAGGAGCTCTCTGGCCAATCTCTTCCACAGCCCAAGGTGAGGAGCCTGTTGACAGCCTCCCCCAGCTCCTAGCCCCCCCAGTCAGTTCCAACACACCACCACACAGCCTCTCCCCCTTACCAAGCATCCTAAGCCTGCCAATCTTGTCCATGAGCAGGGCAGACACGATGTTCCCAGGAAGCACAGCAAGCGTCCCCAAGAAGCTGACAAAGTACACCATGTAGGCACCTTCGCCTGTCCCTGTCACATCTAGTGGGCAGCCCTCCTTGTTGTGCAGGAATGTGCTGTTTACCAGACGGCTGTTCACAAACTTGTACTCAAACAGGTCTGGGGGTGAAGGCCAAGACAGGCAGGCAGTCACAGTGAACGTGAGAGGAGGCTGCTACTGCTTATGACCCAGGGCTCTGCATTTACGGGGGTAAGCAGTGGGGGGCTCTCAAAATGACTCAGGGCATTCATTGCAAAATATCAGTAACATCACCAAGGGAACTAGGAATCTTTACAGCAGAAAATGACTGTCATCAACAGTGTGACTTTCTCCAAGTTTTCCCATTAATAGTCTTTGCTTCTTATTCATTCTTCTTTTTGTCCATGCTAACTGACTAT